GTCTTACACTGTTAAATTAGGGACGGCTAGCGCAGATAGCCCTCGTGTAGCTTTACGCGAAATTCTAAAAAACAAAACAAACATTATTTTTTTCGTAAATAATCCGCATTTGGTTTGTCTTTAGTAAATATACAAAATTTAATTCGGGTTTACAAGCACTACGTGTACTTGTTTTAAGGTAGTTAAAGTATAGAAAACAATGATAAAAATGAAGATTCCTCTAAGCATCTTAACAATTTTTATAACAGAGAGAGAGAGAGAGAAATACTCTTGGTTTGTTCTGCAGCTTTACTTTTAATTTTCTCATTACAGTTCACTTTGATTGTTATATTGTAAGATTCATTGTTTCTGACTTATTAAGTCGGTGATATATCTTAGATAAGAAAGAATATCACGTCATTAAAACAATGAGAAACACAGCTTTGAAGAAAGAATGAGAAAGCTTTCAATACGGGCATTTCACTTTCGTTCGAAAGAGACATTAGTCGGGAAACACACATTCTTTCGTCCAGACAATTAAATAAAAATGCCGAATTTGTTTTTACATAACTGGTATTTAATAGAAATTCTTGATTTTCGTAATCACTTTCCTGAACGAGAAAGTCATTTACTCTTATTCTTAAACTGTTATTTTAAAAGTTGATTATAACATAATTAATATGCAGGCGTTGAGTGAGTTTTTTAGACAGTCTTTTCTCAATTACTTTTTACGGTTGTTAGCTAGATATGCAGATTAATAAACAGTGTAATTTCCCCTTTTTTAAAAAAGTGAACTCACATGATGCCAGCTCGATATCGCACACTTGAGTGTCTAATGGGTAACGTTCCATCTCCATCATGCAGGAAAAGGTTAGCTTCAGCCTAAGGATGCAACAAAGAAAAAACACATGTTTTACGAGAAAGCTTTATTATTTAATCTTTGTAGTGCATGTTGGTGTATAGAGGATATATTAATACTACTAATATACGACCTTATAATACCATTTGAAGCTTTGTACTGTCAGTTTTGGTTTCGGTTTTAGTGAACGCTCCCGAAGAAGCTGTAAAGTGAAACGTTGAGCGTCTAGTTAAATAAAAACAACATTTTGGGGTTATAAGGTCGTTTATCTTTAGTATTAAGAACGTTTTGTTTGCTAAGTATGACATAAAATTTGCATCATGAAAAAAACAGCCAACATCTTCTAAACACAAGTGATAAAAGGAACTTAAAAGTGATAAATTAACAGCCTAAATATCTGTAGCATGACCTAAACTACATTAAACCAATTAAAATGTAATCGAAATTAAATTTAAAAAAATCGTACATTTTGATACGAATATGAATCAATGAAAGGAGACTTTGAAACATAAACATTTTTAGCATGTTAAAGAGTCCTCAACAATATATTTAAATCTAGTCTGCCTTGTATAATTTGTTTTGATGGTAGTAAATCAATCCACTAACTGCCTGACTACAACGACACAACATAGTATAAACATCATACTCGTACTAAAAAAGCCTTATGGATGAAAATAGAAGCGAATAGCTTGTATTGTTGGGTAAATCAGAAGTCGATTGAGGGTCCTGTTAACCAAAGGTCCTGGGTTCCGGTCCCCGACTCTCTTTTCACATACAAAAATTTAGTACGTACATGTAATACATATTTGGTCCTGAATAAGATTTGTAAAGCCTTTGTCTAATTTTCGGACAAATAACAGATTTTTTTATTACGGTTTGTGTGCAGTTAATGAAATTCTGTTCATTAAAATTTTGAACAAATGGCATTCTTTATCAAATAATGTGTGTATACTTGGTTTTGCTAACTAAACTTGAGCGCCTCATTTTCGTTTAAGTAAGTACACAGTGTTAAAATAAATAAACGGATGAATACGTTATGGGAAAAACATTTTTAATATGCAACTCAGAGAGACAAGGGGCAAACAGCTGATATAAAGTCGCGGTGGGACGGAATGTATCAGAACCACATTTTTACACTGTTTCATAGGTAGTGTGATTCCATCGAAAAGTCACCACTTTTGGAAAAATTATGTAACAACCCTTTCCTATGCGAAGTATTCATACACTTGGATCATAAAGATGTGTTCAGATCGGGGATTTAGAACTTCCATATACACTCAGATCATGAAGGTGTGTTCAGATTGGGGATTTAGAACTTCCATATACACTCAGATCATAAAGGTGTGTTCAGAACGGGGATTTAGAACTTCCATATACACTCAGATCATAAAGGTGCGTTCAGATCGGGGATTTAGAACTTCCATATACACTCAGATCATAAAGGTGCGTTCAGATTGGGGATTTAGAGCTTACCTTGTTCTTAACTGTATTGACACACAAAAGAACTTGGACCAACTTGGGTCACTAAGACATTTCATAAAGACACTTGCAACAGATCGTAACCCAGTCAGTGGCAAATGCCGTCCACGTGACCCAGTCATCAGTACTCAACACAGTCAAGAAGTCTGAGGATTTAAGTCTGAGGATATGTATTCACCAAGAGAAAGGCTTCCAGTAATACTTCCAATTCAACCGTTGTATACCTAAAGCAGTTGGAGAATGGAAACGGATGCTCATGTCATTCTATACGAAGACATACCGGTCAAGCTGCCGGATGCAATGCTTATCATGTCATTCTATACGAAGACAGACCAGTCAAGCTCTTGACCGATATGTCTTCGTATAGAATGACATGATAAGCATTGCGTCCGGCTTGCCGGACGCAATGCTTATCATGTCATTCTATACGAAGACATATCGGTCAAGTCACCGGACGCAATGCTTATCATGTCATTCTATACGAAGACATATCGGTCAAGTCACCGGACGCGATGCTTATCATGTCATTCTATACGAAGACAGACCAGTCAAGTGACCGGACGCAATGCTTATGGATTTATCTACAATCGACTGTTGAAATGGCACTGAGAAACCGCCGTCCTCGTACACTAGAAGTCTTATGGAAAATATTCAGGGAGAAGTGGTGTACTTTGGACATGACAGCCTTACGACGGAGGTTTTTGAAATGGGAACTACGCTCAGGGTTATTGTCAAGATATACGGTCATCAGATGGAGTATGACTGGAAGCGCCATGGACTGTAACGGTTCCAAAATCCTTTTAGTAAAACATATTCAACCCTCTTTATGTTATTTAGAAATAAAAACTTAAATACAAAAATTAAGACATATCAAGATATTTCTTTTGCATGATTCAATCTAGACGAAGTT